AGCTGGTGATGAGGAGGTGAAAATGCCACCCTTCAAATCCCAGAAGAGTGCCCCAGAAATGTTGCAGGAGGGCTCAGACAGAGACAAGGAGGACACCAAAGCTTTCAGGAAGCAAGTTTATTAAGCAAGCTGGCAGCAACTCAGCAGACTTGAGTACAAAGGCTGAGACCCAAAAACAAAAGGGGCTTTTCTTATATACCCATTTAGAGCAGGTTACAGAGATGGGGGGTACATCTTGTCCCCTACATAATCACATGTTATTTCATTGGTGGCTTTAAACTCTAGGGCAAAGTGACCCTTCTCTGGTCTCCAGCTAACACTCCCCAACTCCATTTTTTTTTCATTTCATTGTAGCACTCATTAACTCTCATTATCATTTATTATCTCCCTTCCCCTTCCTTCCTTCCTGCCACAAGTCTGCACAACTACTCCAGTTTTCCAGCTAATCAATCAGCTGATTTCCAAGGTCCTGGAAATCAGGACCTGTGTTAGCTGGTAGAGGCCCTTTGCCTAACACTGCAGTGCCATTTTTACAGGTGTCCAGTGTTGGGAGTCCAGGTAGCCAGTTCAACATTTGTCCTCCCAATGAACTTAGTGGCAAATAGGCACACTCCTGTTCAAGTTCTCCCTCCTGCTGCAGGTGGAGTGAGGAGGAGAGTGGATACTCTGTCTGTCCCAAGATAGCAGTGTATTTAAATTTTTCTTCTTCTTCTTCCTTCTTCTTCTTCTTCCTCCTCTTCTTCTTCCTTTTCTGTGCTCCCATAATAGGCAAGTTAGGAAAGTTCTCTATAATGGAGCCACATCTCCAGCCCTCAGATTTTTTTTTCCTGCCTCATGACTTATTCTCAAGGTATCATTCATTGTCTTCTTCCTTGGGTTATATTTTCAGTTTAGTAGTTTAAAGTTTTTTCTTTCATGTGATAAATGTAAAAACAGCAATGTGTGGTGGTGCTCCCCAACCTACTTTTGGGGTTTTAGGAAAGGCAAGTTGGCACTTAAACTAAAACTCAAAGGCTATAGAGGAGTGAGATGACATGTGAAAGCTGGCTAGGAGCTCAAAAGAAACATAGGAGAGGCCTGAAGACAGGAGAAGGACTTCCGATCATTCAAAATGGCAGCAGCCTTTATAAAGGAGGCCAATGGCAGGAGATAAAACTAAAGTGTTAAGTTGTTTTCAGATCATGAACTATAAAAGCGTAGTTTAGGAATTTTAGTTCCTAACAGCATTGGGAAGCCTTGTTTTAAACAAAAAGGGGCATGATACAATTTGTGCTTTAGAAAGATTACTCTGATAGAAAGAGATGAATGTAGATGAAGAGGGCAAAGGTAAGGGCCATTTTGTTTCCTCTTATTCAGGGTCTAGCTACCACCTGATTTCACAATTATATACTGGAAAAATTTAAGGTTGGAGAGTGGAACACAATAGTACATTTAACTTTTGAAGGGATAGATCCTGAAGGAAGACAGAAGATGAAGAAGTAGGAGTGAGTGAGTGCTGTGCAGCTCAAGCTGATCAGAAATGGGAACTAATCATGAGAATCAGAGAGGAGGAGGCCTTCCTTCTGAGAGGAGGGGGAGAGGAAATGATGGGCGAGTTACAGATAAGTAGGCAAATTCGGTGGCAAGAGGTGGTAAGAGGTCCCATCTTTTTTCTGTAATGCAGGAAGCAAAATCATAGTCATCTACCCAAAAAGAGGAAGGTATCAATGGAGCATTTTGGCCAACACCATTGGCAGATCCAGCTATGTTGATCTCAATCCTCCTCAGCTCTGATGATTTCTCTCTAGAGTTTGAAAATATTTGCAAGAAGTAAACATAAGCAGAATTTTTTGGGGTTTTTTTTTTTTAAAGCTTTTCTTTCTCCTAGTAAAGGAGATAGGCATGGCTGGTGTCCATTTTCCTCATTCTTCCAAGTTGACTCCAAATGGAGTTCATGGAGCTGGTACAGCTCTCTCAAAAAGCTGAGATAATAGGGCCAGGAGTGCTGACTGCATGCCTATAATCCCAGCTATTCAGGAGATGGAGATAAGAGGATTGCAGTTCAAGGCCAACCCAGGCAATATAGTCAGCAAGACTCTATCTCAGCAAACAAGCTGCGTGTGGTAGTGCAAATCTCAGCTACATAGCATGAGGAGGTAGAGGATTGCAGTCCAAGGTCAGCACAGGCAGAAGTACAAGACCTTATCAGAGAAATAACTAAAGCAAAAAGAGCTGTAGACATGGCTCAAATGGCAGAAAAGTTACCTTGAAAGCATGAGGATGAGTTTAATCCCAGGTGTAACAATAAATAAATAAATAAATAAATAAATAAATAAATAAAATCTGAGAAAATAAGCAACAGCTAAAAGAAGGGCAGAGATATAATGGAGAGGCAGCACAACCTGACCTCCAGATTTCAGGTTATAAACTCCTGTTTATTCAACTCACCAAAGATGGATTTCACATCCAGAAGCATTCCTAACCTAATACTGGGAGGTTAAGGACAGTGATGAACATCTGTGTTGGTCTTGGAACACAATGAAAGAGAGGTAAAGAGAAAAGGGAGGACCACTGGTAATACTGAAGACCCAGATGAAGTGATACATATAAAATGCCAGTTTATTTTAGAGTATTTATTATCCCCGGAAATTAATCAGTCTAATGGAGGTACTAATATCATGCTAATTTTTTTATCAATGTTAGCCCAAGTCATAGTAATTTTCCTTTTAGACAAACTAGTACCATCTACTCATGAGGAGGCTTATGTAAGTGCAAATGACTCAAAGTACATAGCAACACCCTTTCAAGATTCATCTTGTTCTTAGATGATGATGGTGGTGAAGTTTGGATTATTCAAAGTAAAGAGGATACAATCTTACAAAGTTTATGGTAGCAATAAACAAAGACAGATGCTTCCTCAGAATACTTAATTTCAAATCTGCCAAAGTATTTACATAGAATTTAAGAAATACCTTCCATAAGTAAGCAGTAATTTACAAGACATATCTTTGAGACATTGGTTGCTTTCACAGAGGTCTTATTCATCCCTTCAATTACAAAGAGGATTCTCAAAGAAAAAAACTCCTACATTTTTAATAACTGATAATATGCAAAATCCAATACTTACTCATATCCACTAGAACTCAAAAGCATAATCACTATCAGAAAGCTGTATAACAAAATTTGCACTTACCTATCCCTTACTAATCTTATATTCATCAGTATACTAACTAAGCAGAGCACAGTAATTCCAGATTCCTTTCTGGAGTTACCCTAAGTATTAGATATGATTGGATTTTCTGAGAATAAAATGTTCATACTTTATCAGGAACCCACCCAGACAAAGAAGATGACTACAAGTCTCTTACTTTCTCCTTTCTTAAATAATGTCCTTAGACTTTCGCTTCTTATGTCAGCCTCCAACACCGGTAGTAGTAGCACCATAGGGAACACAGCATGTGTATCCTTGTGATACGTTACAGTTTTATCAAGGATTACTGGAAAAGGCAGCATCATGTTGTATATCGTCAGACTAATTTTAACAACATACAATTCATCTTGCTTTTATTTATTTATTTAGTGGTACTAGTGTTTGAACTCAGGGCCTATGCCTTGAGTCACTCTACTAGCCCTTTTTTTTGTGTTGGGTATTTCCGAGATAGGGTCTCACAAACTATTTGCCCAGGCTGGCTTCAAATCATGATCCTTCTAATCTCTGCCTCTGGAGTAGCTAGGATTACAGGCGTGATCTACCAGCACCTAGTTCTCATCTCATTTTTAAACAGGGAATATGACTCAACTAAATATGAGTAAAACTCAATTAATGTATCATACCCTATAGATGATAGTCCAAATGAAATATCCTTAAAATGTCTTAAAACCTATAAACTATAATGTTAGATTCAACAATTGTTTATAAGAGATTACAGAAGGCACTTTAAGTTGAAATTCAGTAATTTCTTCATCTGTACAAGAGCATTAAAATCCAGGGTCTCATTTCATGACAGCATGTCTATAATTTATCTTACTAATCCTGAAAAGGTTGTCTTATGATGCTTGAAACATATTTACAGCTGGCTTATGCCACAAACAAGAACACAAAGAATACTGAAAGATAGTTATCAGCTGTTTAGGACTTATTTCTCTTTGTAAACTGTGGTATACCTCTCAGTTATACCCTGTACTTGCCAATATTTATGCTACATCAATCTTGTTCCTCATCTCCCTTTTTATATTAAGATGATCATTAATCTTATGTAAACATACATAGAATATCCGTGTATTATAAAAACATTCCTTATGTTTAGGCTACTCCTTAAAATCATGTAGACAGTCATCTTAATATTTCCATTGAGTTATTTTTTTAAATGATACTGTAAGAGACTATTTTTTCCAATATAAGAAATTACTTAGCACTATCAACAATGTGCAGGGCCAGAGATTAAGTCCTTTATTCACCTACCTCCTTACAATAACCATGAACACTTCAGACTAGGTAGTGAAGTAAGTAGTCTTTTGGGCTTTCTCAGTCCATTCTCATATGGTGAATCTGGTGACAGAAGATAAAATAGGAACATTTTTAAAAAGCGATTTAATCTTTGGTCCTTAGAATTCTAGTGTTTACATTATAAAATGGAGGAGAATATCTATTTTTATGCTGAGAAATTTACATATTCCTTTCAACACAGAAAAACATGCTTGTCTAAAAAGGAACATACTAGTTCATTATTTGAGTTGATAATGGAAATGGTAGAACACATCTGATGAAGTCTTTCCAAGGGCTGCTTAGGGATGGACATCTGAATTAAGCTTTGGAATGTCAAACATCTGACTTGACACTGCATTGGTAAGCAGAAAAGCAGGGAATATTGGCATGAGATTCTCTATATCCAATCCTGTGGCTTTTATGACCCTTGAAAGGAAACTGGTCCCCACTAAAACCATCAGTGTATACTAAAGGAGTGCTTGTACTTTCTGTCTTCTCTCAGTCAGCAAAATCTCTGAATACATGCTTGATTCCCTCATGACACTGACAGGACTTTTTCTCTAGTGTGTCGTTTCCTATGTCTGAAAAGATTGGAGCTCTGACTAAATGCCTTGCCACATTCATAACACTTAAAGGGTTTTTCCCCAGTGTGGGTTCTTCGATGCTGAATCAGAATTGCACTTCGGCTGAAAGCTTTTGCACACTGATCACATGCATAAGGCTTCTCTCCACTGTGGATTCTCCGATGTAAAATAAGGGCTGAGCTCTGACTAAAGATTTTGCCACATTCATCACACTTGTGTTGTTTTTTTCTAGAGGAGTTTCCTTGTCTTCTTTCAAACCTGCCATCTTGTTCCCAGGTTCCTCTAGATGTGAAATTCTGGGAGGCATTCATATGAAGAGTGTTAGAAGCATCACAATTCAGTTCCATGCCTGGGGAAGTCTTCTGCCTCAAAGCAGAGTTCACATTTATAGTTTTGGTGTCTTTGTCTAAAATAATAAACAGAAAAGCAAATGTCACCAGTTCTCTGTTAAGAAGGGAACTAGAATGATTCAAATGAAATATATACAGAATGTTAGCTAGCATATTTATAATACAGCATCATAATGTGAAGGATGGAGAGTGTAGCTATTGAGAAGATGATAAGGCAAAGAGGAAGGTTTACATACTGAGGCGGTAGTCAACTATAAAGATAAAAAAACCAACAGGGGGCATGGCATAAGTGGTAGAGCACTTGCCTAACAAGTGTGAGGCCCTTAGTTCAATCCCCAATAACACACACAAAAAATTAGATGCAAAGCTCTGTGGAAAAGGTAGAATGGTGAGTAGTATAAAAGGACATATCAGAGACTGAGAAAAGTCTGGAAGAAAAGAAAGGACCTAAAAGATGAGGAGTTATTGGAGAAGCAGAGGAGCAAGTGGATGGAGAGGATTCAAATGCAAATAACAAACAAGATTCAGTATAAGAGTATCCATAAACAAAATAAAAGCTTAATAATGATAAGTGAATTGGTAATCAAGCATACAAATGAGCTGAAGAAAGCCAAGGGATGAAAAAAGGAAATGAAATAAAAAATACAACTTAAGCAAAAAAAGAAGGATTATAGACTAGGGTAACTGGCATCTCAAAAGATCAGGGAACCACAGAGTACTCATCTATGAGAAACACCTATTCCTGTATGTATTTTATAGCACCAGTTTTATAGCAGTTTTAACTAAACTTACTGTATTATTTTTTAATTGCATTTAATGCCTATGAAAAATATAACGGCTGTTCATGGGCTGTAGTCACTTAAGTCTGGCTCAGTGCAAAATGCCTTTGGACTCAGGTGCTGGGAGCTTCAGTAGAACTACTAACTCAGATGTGAATATGACAACTTACTTTTGAGTATTAACAGAAGGAATCACTTTAGAAATCCTCACGGTGGTACTGTAACAGAAGCTCATGAAAGATGGCAGTTTAAAAACCGTCTGCAAGCCAGACACTGGTAGCTCACACCTGTAACCCTACCTATTCAGGAGGCAGAGATCAGAAGAATTGAGGATCAAAGCCAGCCCCAGACAAATAATTTGAGACCCTATCTCAGAAAAACCCATCACACAAAAAAAGGGCTGGTGGAGTGGCTCAAGAGATGGAGTTGAAACCCCATTGCCGCAAAAAAACCCAAAAAAACCAAAAACCACTCTGCAAAAGTAAAGCATGCAAGTTTGGGGACCATGACTGCTGGAGTTCCTTTATCTGAGGTAATTGTATAAATGGAACTGAAGGAATGCAGAGAGGGACTGGTGGCCAGTAATTCTAACGATCCTCTCAAGGCCTAGTCAAAAGGAAACAAGAAAAGTGACTGAGTGTGATACTGGATAAGAGAACTCTAAGTTAAAAAAAAAAGAAAAACTTTAAAATTCAATTTGAAATGGCTGTAAATATAGCTATTACAAAATGAATTAAAAATTATTTCTTGCACTTGTTCATAAACGATACACTCATTTATTAATCACTATTTAAATAGAAATTATTTTATAAAGGTACAGATTCTGTCTCAAATTTATTTTTGACAGCTCATATTCCTAAGTGACCCCAATGTTTAGTTATTACTATCAAAATCCTGGCAACGGCACTTCACAGCACTGAGACCAAGGCCATTTGTAGAAGCCTTGATTAGATAAGACTCAATACCACAGAAGCCAAACTGTGGACTTGAGAAATGGTTCTGTTAACCTATCATGTGATCCTCGTTACGTCTGCATTGCATTGCAGAATCCTGGGGCTTTGGCTTTCTGTTTCAAATTTCTATGCATCTTTAAAAAAAATGCAGGCAAGGCCTCTTTGAGGACATTTACATAGTTCTTGCTAACACCCAGAGCCCAGACCATGACTGATCACTTCTGTAGTGATCATACACAAGTGAGGCTAGGATGGTTTCCTCCCCACCCCCAACAGAGCATGGAAAGGACTTTCACTTTCCTCTTGGGTAAGCCAAGAGGTGTTACATGCCCAGTATAAACCTCATGGGATTAAGCACTTGCTAATAAGTAAGTTAGAAAATTTTTTCTAAACTTCTCTTTAAATTTCTGTATTTTCATTTTCCTGTAGTTTCTTACCAAAATTCCTTTGGAAAAACTCTAACCTTGCTTAGGTAACCAGATAGCCCAGAAATATAGAAGCAGTGTGGGGGTTGGGAGAGATCCTTTCAAGTGAGGTTTCCCTCTGATTTCTGGCTCCCATTATATCCAGCATGATCAGTTAGAAGGAAGGTCTCTGCTCAAATGTCACTTCATCAGAGAGGCTTTATCTACAACTCTACATAACAAGATCCTGTCTCTACTCCATCCATCTCCCTTATTCAGCTTTGCTTTTCCCCACAACACTCATTTTTTAAGTATCTGCAATGGAAGAACAGATTGCTATACTAGCCATTTTGGAGCACTTTTGAAAAACTGAAGTAAAGAGCAATGGAAACCAGTTTAGGATGAGAAAGAGCAGAGACATGTATTCAAAGCACACTGTCAAAGCAAAGTCATCTTAGCAGCAGTAGAGACGGTTGTGCTCCTACATCCCACCAGTCACACAGAAGCGAAGAGGCATATCAGTGGTCTCACTATGTATCTCGGAGGCTGCCTGAGGGAAAAAAGAGGTGGGAATGAGGCTAACCTAGAAGCCTTGTGGGCTGGGACTGCAGGTTCTTGCTTCACACTGAGTAACTGTGATTTCATATATTTTATATATTGAAACTCCACATAAAATCTCATTTGAGAGAGAATCATGCTGCTTAAAAAAGGTTTGAAAACCCTGATGGGGTCAATGTAAAGGATTAGAAATCTGAAGATTTCATAAGAATCTATACCCAAAAAACCCCAAAACCAAGAACAGGACACTGAGGCTATCCATTTAGTAAGTCAAGTTCCTATAGTGAGGAGACAAGAGAGGAGATTTGAGACCTCCTGATGAAGCAGCCAGCACCTCTGTGGTGGGCTGGACCCCCTTCACCTCCCACCATGAACTGGGGTATACCCCTTACCATGTTGTCTTAAAGACTGCAGCTCCCACGATGCCCACTGGAGCTGCTTCTTCAAGGGCTTGAGCCGGCTACTTGGTAACTCCTGAGGGATTTCCCAAGGTGCTAGCTTATCTGCAATCATGGCCTTTCTTCCTCCAAAAGAGACCTGGCAACAGTTAGGTATAACTGAGGCTGAAGAAGGGCACCAGGTAGGGACTTGAGGGTAGAATAACAGAGAAGAAAATACATAGAAAGTATCCTAGACACAGGAAAAGGGAGAGAAAAGATAGAGCCATGATCTATTTCCTGGAACACCCATGAGTACATTCACCAGCCTACACTTCCCATTGTGTTAAGTGGGAATACAATTTGATAGCTTCCCCCTTCCATGACATGCTGGTGCTCCTGACTCAGTCTGGTCATTCATCCACAGGCATCCTTCTTACCTGCATGGCTGGCCCATCAACCTTTTTCTCCACATCCTCCAGCAAAGTCACAGCTTCCTCTCCATTCTCTGGTTGGTGCTTCTGCACCCAGGCCTGCAGCTCCTCGGGCAGGATGGCCAGGAACTGCTCCAGTACCAGCAGCTCCAGGATCTGTTCCTTGGTGTGTTCCTCTGGCCTCAGCCAGTGATGACAAAGTTCTCGGAGCTGGCTTAAAGTCTCCCGGGGCCCAGGTGAATTCTGATAGCCAAACTGCCGAAACCTCTGGCGGAAGGTCTCTGGGCTGTAACTGCTGTTCCAGTGGAGGCTAGGGTCTGGATCACTGGCCTGCTCTTCCTTCTCCATCTTCACCATGAAAATCTCATAGGGCTCTCTGAAGTTTGTGGAAGGTGTGTTGATGACATTCTCAATTTTGCAAAAATTTTGACTGGCAATGGACTGCTAGACTTTAATCTTCAAAGAGTGGAACTCACTCTCCAGATACTCCTTAAATACAATTAAAGAAACAAGTAGAAACCAGACAAAAGGCAAATTGTTCTTAGAATCAAACAATTAAGATCAGAAACATAAGCCCATACAGAAAGTACTGGCTTTAACCTTAACATAAACTATGCTTTCAAAGAATACTTCTTTGTTTAAGAGAACCAAAGAGCTAAAACTAAATAACTCACATGCACTAGTAATTCCCAACCTATTCTGAAACCCATGCCCATGAGACTGACAAAATATTACAATAAGAGAGATCAGTCAGGATTGCAAAGGAGCAACCAGAGAGCAGAAATAAGAGAAGCCTGAGAAAAGCTATGACTCTGAAACAGATTCCTAGGGCCAATTAGTTTCATCTAGTTTGCTACAAAGAGCTCAAAGAAATAGTCTCACAAGAGAATTATTTTTTGTGTGGATTTTCAACTTCTGCTAATTATTAAAACATACTAGCTTTTGCAAGCTGGGGATCAAACCCAGGGCCTTGTGCATGCTAGGCAAACACTAGCACTGAGCTACACTCCCAGTCCGAAGAATATTATTTGACGTTAAAGGGACTATTCAAAAGAAAAGCACCCTTTTTCATAGTCACTTCTATTTCTCACAAGCAACATCGATATTATATACTAAACTGTTTCTTTAGACTCTTTAGCTTGTGTCTAGTTTTCACTATTATAAATATTGCTGGGACGCACATATTATTTTTGTCCTTTCAGATTATTTCTTTCAAGCATATCCCAAGGCTTGTGCTTATTGGGATCAAAGGAGAGTGGCAAATTCTGCTGTGCTGTGTATTATCCAATAAATTATATTTAAAAAAAAAAGACTATCGATTCACAATGCCACAAGCAACACAGCGATGTGTCAGAGCAATGATTTCTGTAAATGTTGTTACTTTATTAAAAAAAGAAGAAGAAGAAGAAGAAGGGTGGCTGGCAGAGTTGCTCAAGTGGTAAAGTGCCTGCCAAACAAGCATGAGGCTCTGAGTTCAAACCCCAGTACTGCAAAAGCAAAGGGGGGGATGGGAAAGACCATTCTTTTAGGATATGTACCTCCAGCACTCCAGCAATTAATCACATCTTAAAATTGGCAGTGGTATGTTATACTGTCTGTGCGAGTTCAGCAATGACTAATTTAAAATTCTTATGTGTGCTCCCATTTTTCATTTTTAAAGCCTGTATTTTTTCAGTTTTATATAGTCATTCCCGCCTCTTCCCCCAACTCACTTCACCAAGTGCTACGCTATTTACAATTTAGTCGTATGATGCAAACAGTAATGGCAGACTCACACAGAATTATGTGTCAAGCACTGTTCTAAGCCTTAATAAATAACTCTTGTTTAAATTCTCATAAAAGCCCTAGGAGGTTACTTTTATTGCCATGTCGTAGATGAGAAATCTGTCACAGCAAAGCTAGGTTCCCAAGGACAAAGGGGGCAGGTCTGGTGCCAGGCGGCCCATCCTTTCCGACAGTGCTGTGTGGTCACACTAGGCGAGGCCCCTAGTTGACCCCTGATCAGAGGTCCAGCAAGGAGGAAGACGTCTGCAACAGCACGCCCAGACGAACCCCGGCGAGAACGGAGTATGGAGAGGAGATCCGAGAGGTAGGAATGGTTTACTTCACGGGTTTGGAAGTACCAGGGACCCTAAGGGCCACCCTAAAGCTACAGCAGTCTTCTGGAAACCACAGGACGAGCCGCTGTCCGAACGCACTGCCTCTTCTGCGCCAGGGGAAGAATGTGTGCCGTCTCCACACTGCTCTCAGCTCTGCACCTGAGATGGGGGAACGAAGGCCCCACCCATCACCCAGGACCCACCAGGAGCAGGGTCCCTGAGGCAGAGGCTTCCCACGGACGGGATCCAGGGGTCCCTACGGAGACCCACCCCCCTCCTCTATAGGGCCGGGTCGGGCGTTCCCGCACCACCCCTTGCTCCTGCCCTTCGGGCTCCCGCACCCTCCGGGCCTGGGAAGGGCCTGGGCGGGACCGCGCGGGGTGCGGCGCGCCGGGGTGCGCGGGGTCGAAGGGGGGGAACGGAAGGAGGACCGGGAGCGGAGGGAGGGATGGCGCCGAGATCCTCGCACCCCCTTGATGGCCGCTTCTGCCCACGGCCTAAGACCGGGACGAGGCCTCGGCTCTCACCTCGGGCAAGGAAGGACAAACGCGGAGTTCTCAGGGAGACACCTGGGTAGCCAGGCTCCAAGCCGCTTCCGGTCCTCGGGCGGCGTGGAGGCGGGGCCGGGAAGCCAGAGCAGTTGCCATGGAGACGAGAGGCCGCGGCCTCCAGAGGTCTATGAGATGCTTGGGACTCAGGGCAGGGGAGGGGAGAAGGAAGCCACAGTTTCGGCTGTAGTGCATCACTCCAATCTTCAAGGCCAGCATCCCTCAAAAAAAAAAAGTCCTCTATTTCCATCTTATAAGGGGACATGTGGCTGCATTTAGGGCCCGCGGGACAATCTGGAATAATCCCTCCCTCTCAAGATCCTTAAAATCATACCTTCAAAGACCTTTTTTTCCAAAGAAGATAGCACTTCCTGAAATTGCTGATGACTTTGAGCACCGTTTTTTAACTTACTATAGCAGCCTATGTTGTTTCAGCTAAATAAAGAATTGCCTCAAGAGGAAAACTTTGAGAAAGCAGATATTTGAGAGAAGTTTTAACCCAAAGCCTGTGAACTCTCTGTGAGCCCAGTGTACACACGTGGTTCCTGAACTTTAAATTTAATTTAAATAAAATTAAGTAAAATGAGAAAGTCAATCCTTGACATTATTTTCCACATTTCAAGCACTCAATAGTGGCTAGTGGCTGCCTATTGAACAGCACAAATAGAGATCATTTCTACCAGAGCAGAAAGTTCTAATAGACACCACTGTATACCTCCTGAAATATCTATTTGGGAGTATACCCGTGCACTTTTCTGGGGACAAGTCTTAACAAAAGACCAAGCTATCAATACTGGCAAAGACTGGTATGTTGATGTGTTTTATTTGGCCCACTTGTTCTCAGCATGTAATTTTGGTTTCATACACTTCATTTCTCTTGAAAACCGAAAAACCTTGAATAGGTTTTTCCTATTCCCTTAGGACAAATATTTAAGATGAAATACCAGTGGGATGCCCTGAGTTCAAACACCAGTACCAAAAAAAAAAGATGAAATACTACTTACTTAGACAAAGCATGCTTTCCCTAGTTTGGTCAAAACTCCTATCTGCCTCTTTCTTTTTTCTACTACCTGCCTAAGTTCCTATAGGTATTTGGGCTGGAGACTTCTCATCTTCCATCTGCTTGTCAAAGATGTCCATGACTCAGATCACTGCCTCTCAAAACTTGAAGGTGGATATGAACCCTTAGGGATCTTGCTGATAGTAATTCAATAGGTTTAAAGTAGGAACCCAATTTCTGCACTTCTAATACCTGCCCAGACAAAGACAATGTTTGGAGTAGCAAGTCTTTCTATCTACTAGGAAATCAAGGCAAAATCTACTTCCCAGAGTAACTAGTGAAATCAAATTCAAGCTGCCAGAAACCTGGTCCAAACAGCCAATTGCAGTACTAGGAGTAGGACTAGACTAATGGTAGATGAGGGACCCTCCTCATCTTTAATATAGTTTCTTTGGTACTTAATAGTGAGCTTGTATCAATTAAAACTAATCTTAATTATTATAGATGTGGGGGATATTTTCCATTGCCAACTTGGCAAATGTTTCTGAAGTAAAGCCTGCCTGAGATTCTTAGCAAAAGTATTTGTCAAACAAGCTGAAGATAATAACATATTCTTGGAGTTTTGAGGAGAAACATGAACTCAGAAACTGCCTTGGAATGCCAGTCTTTGTGGCTGAACTTGAAGATGTTGCACCTTTCTGTTTCCTTTATGATAGATTCCATTTATGGAGTTGTTGCAATATAAGACCAAAAAGAACCACCATTAGTAATAGAAACCAGGTGACAAAGCAGAGATATACTAATAAAATCATTGATTCATTGATTTATTCAACTAGTATTTTTGTACGCAATGAGCCTAACACCCGTCTTCACATGTACACTTTATGGCATAATTGGCTAACTATACTGTTTGATATTTTTTGTATTGCTGTAGAGAGAGAGAAAGAGAGAGAGAGAGAGAGAGAGATTTGATGCCCTTAACAGGCATTTTATTCCACTATTTTCATTGTTTAAAAAGTCATTTATTGGACCCAGGTGTGGTGGCTCACTCTTGCAATTCCAGCACTTAGGAGACTAAGGCAGGAGGGTCCTGAGTTCAAGGCTAGCCTGGGCTACATAGCCAGTTCCAGGCTGGTGTGGGCTACACAGTGAGACCCTATCTCCAAAAGAATCACTTATTAGGCTACCACATTGATGAATATGGCACACATCCAAAAATATACTCTTCCTTTTCTAGGTTTCCCTGATTATAAATCAACAAGACAACTTTATTGCCTTGTAAAGAAGTAATAAGATTCTCCCCATTTCTTGTCTACTTTTGCTAGTTTGACAATCAAAAGAGCAAATGGCACTCTCTAAATACACCAATGAATTAGCTTCCCATTAAGTTGTGTTCTCTTCTGATAAATAAGACTATGCCTTAGCAAATGCTGTCACACAACTAAGATATGAGAGGAGTTGTATGCTTTTTCAATACCTAAGGAGGGATGAGTTTTGAAAATAGGATGCTTCATACCTACCTCTTTTAGAGCTTCTCCCCAGTGTGGTTACTTGATGACTAAGAAGGAATAGCAGCCACCTAAAGCTTTCATGGCCTGGATTACTTCAACAGGCTCCTCTCCTCCACGCAGTCTTTGATGTAGAATCAAGATTGTGCTCTGACTAAAGGCCTTCCCATAAGCATCACATTCAGAGGGTGGC